GCATCTCATCCACAGTGCCTATAAATATCCACAATTATTGTTCTCCTAGTTGGCCTTACCCAAGATGCATGAAGTAAAAGCACTCGATACATCTTGGGCCTTACCTAACTGGATTACAGGACGACGCCACCGTCACAATCATTTTGTAATAATAACTTAATCTTTTAAAACTTGTACCACATTGCGAACCGCGGGTAAAGATGCTATACAGTATATTATACTGTCTGGTGGTCATCATCTAATAATACCAGTTGTTGTGGCTGTCGTATCAAATCACAGAGTCAAGGTTCAATTAGATATCTTGCAGCCAACTTCTGTCGCTCCACTCTACCACCGCAATAATCTATTGTCTTCGCACTTTGTTGACGATGGCACATGCTTAATAATAACACATACGGTAACTGTTAACACGTGTCTTGGATGGTAATATTGACTAAAGTTTTTATTAGTTTTTATGTTGATTTATAAATTTACTGCAACTGGAGGTTATCCAGTGGTCAAAAACTCGACCAAATATATGTAATGTACAGACTTCACCGTTTCCCCCCTTTGTTGTAAAGAAAAAATGTGATTGGAATTTATTTTATTTGTTTTGATTTTCTGTTTATAATACGCTGTTATTTTGTCACCAGCATGGCAACCCATATGGGCCATGTTATTTTTTTTATGGAATGATAATTTTGTGTGCTTATTTTTGAGCATATTTTAATTTATAAAGGTATTCTGCACATATACAGGGAAATATCTTTCTAACAGTATGCGTAGACTTTCCCTGCGATGCGCACAAGTAGAGAAAAAAGGTTTTAAAGAAACATGATTGCCTATTAATATATAGAAGATTCCGGTCCCACAGGGATGTGTATTTTCAGGGGGGGGGGAAATGTGGTTGGATGAACTCAAAATGTTACTTTCCTTTTTCTGTGAGATTAATAGGATGGTTCCAAGAATAAAATAAAGAAACATGATTGCCTATTAATATATAGATTTCGGGCACACGGGGATGTGTATTTTCAGGGGGGGGGAGGGGGGATGAACTCAAAATATTACTGATCTTTTTGTGTGAGATTAATAGGATGGTTCCAAGAATAAAATAAAGAAACATGATTGCCTATTAATATATAGATTCCGGTCACACGGGGATGTGTAATAAATAAAAACAGGGAGCTTAAATTTCCCGTTCTCCCTGTGAACTGCCACCCTGACAGCAGTCGTGGCTTACGTCCCCCAGCTTATAGCCATAATAACATTCGTGGCTTTCGGGAGGCAGCCGTATTTTCAGGGGGGAAATGTGGTTGGATGAACTCAAAATATTACTAATCTTTTTGTGTGAGATTAATAGGATATGGTTCCAAGCATAAAATATTTATTCTAATACTATTTGTTCACCATGTTAAGAATTTGTTAGATACCGTTTTTGAACTCTTTTTTATGCCACAGTTTGCTTTAATAAACTCTTAGTATTTTTTTTACAAATTTCTTTGCAACCATCATTCTGAGGAATTTCAAGATTATTTCTACCCAACGTAATACATGGATTAGGAATTAGTTGGATTTGCATGTCAGTCGTCAGTCATAGACGTTGGTGTATATAGATTGTTCATTATTGGTATAGCTTATGTTCTTTATTTGCCAGAGTTTTAAAAAGTAAAAAAAAAACATTTAATTATTGTGGTCAATATTTATTTTTTTTTAACACGCATTTTAATAAGTTTTACAAACAATTGGAGTTGTAGCCATGTTATATTGCTTACCCTAATACAGAAATTATTCGTTTATAGCCTGTAAAGATTTCAACTCCTTAAGCCGGTTTAAAAAGCTTACCTTAATCAGTTTGCTTTCAATGATCCAAAACATCAGCTTATATTTTTTGGTGTGCTAATTTTCAGTTAATTTAATTTTTACTCAGTTCACCAACTATCCATGGAATGTGTTTGCAATGTTTTCCATCAAGATTAATATCACATTAATTTTTTCAACGAGCAATTTAAATTCTCCCAGTGTGTAAAGAGGAAGCGAGAGTAATCATATTGAACTTAGTTGACGCCCAACAATTAGCATGAGCTCATGGTCTAACTGAAACTGTCAACTATGTACTCACAAACTAATGAAGCTTAGCAAGTTGTTTTGTTTACTATTTGATGCTTTGAACTAGTGCACTTGAATTGCAGTTGATGAAAATAAAATCTAAATTATTTATAGAGTAAAATGTGCGTTTTAAAGATTAACATGTGGTAGTAATTGAAAGATTTCTCTGAAACTATTTAACTATTATTTTGGGGTTTACAAAATGCTGTTGGATTTTCCCTAGTGCAATTCAATTTGAGTTCAAAGACAGAAGATTCATTTAAAAAGGGGGGAAATATGTTGGAAATTATCTTGTATTTACTTAGTATTTTACTGTTGGATAATAGCATACAATACTCTGCAAACTATTTTCCCTTTTAAGTTCTAGCATAGTCTGTGTAGGTAACTGAATAGCAAACTTATTTTCCTTAGAACAAAAAAACAATCATACAGTGACTAGGCAAAACCTGATATAAAATAACTCATTCAGTTGTTCATCTTAAAGCGTATTGTGTAGGAATGTTTATGGATTCAAATTTTTGGGATAAGATTATAGTTTGTTCGAAAAAAGTGTTTAACTGCAGGCAAGAAATTACATCACTGCTTCTTTCTCTCAATACGGACCAGTGCACGCTTTCATAAACATTTTCTTTTACATAAATTAATCAAAATTACTTAAACCCATCCTTAAAGTTTGCATTGTAAACCAGCATGTCCATATAAAGAAGCCGTGGCAGTTTCAATGAAGACACTTCGCAGCCCATTCACAAACCACTTAAATCAGATTGTCAGCCATCTTGACTCATTGTTGTGACTGTCGGAAATGATTCATTGTCCAGTCTAGTAATAGCAATGGTAAAAGTGACAAAATTCAAATGCATCTCTTGCTGCTAGTTGACAATATTCATTAAAAAATTGCATAATTTTAATTTAATAAGGTTTGTAATTTATTATTCCTTGAGTCTATAAAAAAATATTTACAATTACATTTTTATTAACCTATGAGTTCTAGATATTCATCACTAAATATCATTAATATAGAGGAATATTGATGCTGAGTTTTTTAATTCAAGGTTTTGTTAGGTCAATCCTTTATAATTTATTAGAATCCATGTTTTAGCCCGTGAGCTGTATAATAACTAAAATAGGATTTACCTTCGCCAATACAGCTCAAATATTGGTGTAATGTATTACAATGCCATCGCCAGACTACAAAATCTCGGCTGAAGTAGCGTCGTTGAAGTTAAAACACATAACACACACGAACAATGCGAATATTTAAACTGTTTAAAAATTGATGATTGTCGTACTAACTGCAACGGTTGGCATGTTCCCGTTCCAAGCAAAACAGTATGTTTTCTGTGGCAAAACGCCGACTCACAAACGAAACGGCTATAACTTAGTTACACCAATTTGAGCTGCATTGACGAAGGTAAAGCCTATTTTAGTTTGTAATTTAGATTATAAATTTTTTTGGTCCCTATATTTAGGCTGCAACTAATTGTAGTCACTGAAAATTCCATACATATAAGTAAAAGGACTTCTTTCCAACAACATCACTTTGCAAGCAATTCCAAAAAACTTGCAGCCTTATTTATTGGAGAATAAAAAAATCATAAATATGTAATATTTCTTATAAACTAACTATATTACTCCCCTCTCTTGGTATTTACTTATTTGGGTTATTATCCCATCACACAAACATTTGTTTAGGGTAAATCTAATGTTATTTAAATGGGGAATAAATATGTCTTGTTTATATAAAAATATTTTATATCCAATCAGACAAATTTAAATTCGCCAAGTCTGTGTTTGTTGCGACATTATTATTGTAGGATACTATAAAAATACTTCTCAACTGTACATTTACTGGTAGTACAGTACTCAAGGTTCGATGGAAGGAGTTGAAAGCCACCAAGAGGGCCATTATACCCCATTGTATGAGCCTCTCTGCGGCTTACTACGGCTTACAGCTGAGACAGACCTAGTAGTCGCTAAAAGTCACTTTTCTTACAAGCAATACACATAATTAACCCTCAATTCATACTTTCAACTAATAATTATTGTCTTTGTTTTCACCCCAAATAATTGTATTAAATTTGGTTTTGTGTAATGATTTTCTTAGTTGTTTAAAATTTGATTTTGTATATTGCTTTTACACCATGACCTAAGCATGTCTTTTAGGCAGGGTAAAAAACGTTTAGGAAAGGGTTCAATAAAGGGAATTGATGACAAATTAGATTCTTCAAGAATAAATAGCTCCCAGTTTAGAATTTGTTTCAACTAGTTGTCAATAATTAATGAAAGAGGGGAGATGTAATGTTAAGTTATACCATTGACTATTGGATACTCATTGGCAATAATATAACAAAATCTAAAATTTGTTTGTAAAAACTATAGTAGTTTTTGAAAAGTAAATCAATGTACAAAATTAAATTTCGAGGTTACTATAAAAAAAGTGCTTGGTTTATCCTGTTGGGGAGAAAATAAGAATCCTTCCCTCAGTGATCCTTTCTGATGTTAAGTGTTTTGTAAGATCCAGTTTTACTAAATCCCTTACTGATTTTCTACTTAAATTTTAATTTAGCGGAGTAACTTATCAATTTCTATTGTAACTCAGATTCAGATGACTTACTATACTTCGTTCACAATATTTAGGCAGTTTGAGGGGGAATTCCCCCACCACTTTTTTATTTAATGTATGTTGATGCTTAATCAGCTGTTGAGGGTCAAGTAGAGAGGATAGATTTCTTCCCCTAAAACCGCCTAAATATTGTGAACGAAGTATAGTAAACTAAACTTTCATTGTTAGTCTTTCATAATTTAAATTTTACTAACAAACATATTTTGCACATCGTTGGTTCACTAAGAGAGTATATTTTTTTATGAATAAAATAAACCACTGTTTACTAATATGTGATTTCTTAACATTCCAGAAGACCTCTGTCAGGGGATCCGCAGCCTAGAGCCATCAAGATGGCGCCACAGACTCGAGCTCAGAAGATGAAGAAGTGCTTCGGTGAAAACCTCCTGACCATGCTGACTGTGGCGGGTGTAGTCGGGGGAGGTGTTTTGGGATTCACTTTGCGAGCATCTAAACCTATGTAAGTTTTAAATTATACATTCATCATTTCATAAATACTCTCTAGTTCATTAACTAACAGGTGTTATTTTAGCAAATTATTTGGATGTGGGAAACATTACTTGTAATGAACTTTACTACACCACCACAAAGTGTTATATTATGTCACATTTGATCACAGCAGATCTTTCATATTGTGAACTACATACAGATTATTTTTATTGAGTGCAATAGTGAATAATATGGTTTTAGGGGTAAATAGTTCATCCAAACATTTTGCTATGCACAACAAATTAAGAGCCAAATTTTGTCATAAGCATCTTGAAAGCATTGAAAGACCTCTAGTACTACTGGTAGTTAAAATATTTACAGGTAAGATAAAGATTACCTAACATAATATAGAATAATATGAATCAAAGAAAAGTTTAAAAAGTGTAAACCATATATATCAGGAGGAAATGCTATAAAACAGGTCTTAAGGAATCTACAGCAATGCAATGTTAAAACATGCTACACTTTCCCAACCCCCTCCTCTTCTAATAACTCTCTTGGTTCAAAATCCAACAATTTCCTACAATTATTATCAATATTTTCTTATGATTAACTATTTTATCAGGTATTCGCAACTAATTGTGAACATAATCCTATCACTAATACTAAAAAGAAATCTGATAATCATCATCTGTTTCAGATGGACGCCCAGAGAAGTTATGTACGTGCAGTTTATCGGAGACTTGTTCCTCAACATGTTGAAAGGTCTGATCATCCCATTGTTGGTGTCATCCATCGTTGCTGCCATCGGTTCACTGGACCTTACTCTCTCCAGTAAGATCGGCTTCCGAGCCATCACATACTATGTCGCGACCACCACACTGGCGGTCTTCCAGGGTATTGTACTTGTCAATGTGATCAAGCCGGGGAAAAACCAAGGTTCGTCCAACATTACCAGGACTGGATCATCTCGTAATGTGACTACTGCTGACACTCTTATGGATCTTGCAAGGTTGGTTTGACATTGTAACTTGGTTGTAGTAGTAGACATAATCTTACACGGGTGACGGTGACAGGGTAATCTTTCTGAGGTTGGTGGATCTTGACTTGTGTAGGACTGTAACTTAGGACGGTGGAAGAGGCTGTTACTTTGGCAGGATTATAGACATTATAGCTTTGGAAGGATGGAAGACACCTAGGATAGAAGGTACTGACATTTTTAGAGGGTGGTAGAAACTGTAACCATGGGAAGATGGAAGACAAGGAAATGTTTGGACTAAACTTAGTGTTTTGCATATAATATAGGTACTATAATTAATTAATCAAATTGTAAATTTTTCCTGTTTTAAATTGTTTTTTTTTTCCTTTACAGAAATATGTTCCCACCAAATCTTCTTCAAGCTGCCACACATCAGGTAAAATAATTATTCTTTTTCTCTTTTAATGATAAAGAACATTTTGTTTTTTTAATTAATCAATTTAAATTTACAATTATTTATAATTGGTTTTTAATTTGGATTAAAATTAATTACTTTTATAACACCGAGAAACTACTCAATTTATTTAACTGTTAAATTTATTTGTAGATTTGCACAAAGTTTGGGCTAAGCGGTTAATATCATAGTAAAAACATAATTTTTATTTAATTCAATTGGATTACCCGTTGAAATTTGAAATACAATTCAATTTCAAAAAATTGCTTTCAGAAGTTATATATTATTTGTTTTATTGTTTCAGTACAGAACAGTGCTCTCATATGATCCAAGTAAAAATGATCAAGTCGACCCAATTCTGAGGCAAGACAGATGTAAGTATATTTTTTATTTTGTGTGTACTTACGCCAGTGGCATTTTTTACATTTTGAATGGGAATGGTCCAAACCCTGGTCTTGTTACTATCTAACATTGACCTTTTTTTAATAAATGTCAAATAATAATAATCATCTTATAATATAATAATATTATTATATGTTAAATATTAATATCAACTTAGAAATATCATCATTAAATAATTACAAAATGTTAAAGAAATATTTAGCGCCTTTGACATGATCACAGCAACACTAAAGTGCCTTTCTCATAATGTTAATATGTGGTATTGTAATGAAAAGCGGAAATCTGTCAGGCAGATGTTTAGTAGAACTCTAGTTGATGCCAAAGAGAAAAGGGCAGTTTCAAGTAGTTTGGGATAGTAGTTGGAATCTATACTGTAATTTATAAATAATAGTCCTTCCCCACGTGTTGGAGGGTGGTAAATATTCTATACCAATTCATCCTGTATGTGTGCAATCCAGGGCATAAAATAACATGTTAACTGGGCGACACTTTTGTCGCACAGTGCTGAGATTTCGTCGCCCAGTGGCTATGGGTGGTGCCGGTTTTTTTTTATGATTCACATTTTAAATGTATCGGAATTTAAAAAAATACATAATGTAAATATTTTTGACTATTGAGCTATAATTTTGTCCCAAGAGGTTGTGAAGGGAGCCTTGGCCTGTTACAATGTTCTACAATACGTAATTAAGGGAGATTATATGGACTATTTACAAGCAAATATAATTGAAAACATTTATTAAAAGATACATAGAAATGTGTGATTTTCACTTAAATGTATGCAAAAATTTCCGGGGGGGGGGACCATCGAACCCCCCTTTTTGATTGGGGGTTTCCAGATACCCCCAGACCCCCCGGAAAGTCAGGCGCCACTGTCGCCCAGTGGAAATACCTTAAAATATGCTCTGGTGCAATCCATATTAAGCTAACTAATGTGTGGCTTAGCCGGTGGGAGGATCCATCTTATATAAACAGTGTCCGACTTGGGTGGAAGTTAATGGCATTAGTGAGTTATAAAGTGGTTGCACACAATATATACCGTATTTAGTTTCTTTTTATATGAGAATAGAGGAGGAGGACTCTGATTTTTCTTTTTTGGTTTTGATTTCGGTTAATAAATGGTTACATCAAGTTGAATTAAATTTAAACGAAGAACACAACACAAAATAACCTTAAAAAAATACTCTATAGAGTCAACATTTTTATCCATTGTCAAAAAAGTTCTGCTTGAATGTAAAAATTAACATGTGTAACATTACAGACTGTAAATATCACAATTTAAGACAACAAAATTTGTGAATTTCAGACAACTTGTACTCTTGGAATATTGATCATGAGTTCACGGAAGGTTCCAACGTGTTGGGACTTGTCGTATTCTCCGTGATTCTTGGCATCGCCATTGGTCGAATGGGAGAGCTCGGCAAACCTCTGCTCAAGGTATTCGAGTCCATGAGTGAAGCGATGATGGTCATCACAAACTGGGTTATTTGGTAAGTCTTCTATGTATTTTATCTTTGAGTCCCAAAGATTTATATTTTTGCCATAAAAGGGACTGGGCATTATAATCCAACTGTCCATGCTAGCTTAGCTTGACTAAACTACTGAAAGCTGATGTACCTGACTGTAAACTTTTTATATTGTTGAAATATAGGTGATGACCTGAGAGTAATACAATTTGTCTCGGATATAGTAGTGTGCTAACCTGTGAAATGATTGGTGGTGGGGTTTGATTTGTTTTGTTAAGAGAAATATAGTACTTCTGAAAATACATAGCCATACAAATATCATCTGAGCAGCGTAAAATAAAGAATGGAAATCACAAGTTGATACTGTGTATACACAGCACAAAAACACCAATAGTGTTCTTCCTCCACTAACTCAGAAGCAGAAGCTAGTCTATTCTCAGACATTCTTGAGGTTATTGCTGCTATAACTATAAATATAAGACTCAGTTTCCATTGTCTTTGCAGCTTGCTTAATGCTTCCAATATCTTATCCTAGAATTTCACATATATTTAAAAAAAGTAGACTACGTATTTTCAAGGTAAATCGCTATAAGATTACTCTGTGTTTGTCCCATAAATTTATATTTTAATTGATCCACTTTCTTAACACGCAGGCGAAGTTTTGGGAAAATTAATTGATATGCATTAAAGATGATTTATTTAAAATCCGATAAAATAGGGGAATCCATATAGTGTAATATAAAACAATCACTAACCAACTTATTTTATCTATACTGTATTTTATTTATTGTCTGGCTATCTACTATCACACAGGTAGCTCTACATCAAAACGCACAATCAGACATCAGTCTGAAACCAACTTGGGCTCAGGGTGGGCCAAAAATGAATATGTCCACCCAAAACCCAATCTTGAATATGTTGATGGAAACAAAATTTTCTCTATATACAGTAGACTCCCTCTTATCCGGACTCCTCGGGACCGAGGCCAGTCCAGATAACGGTTTTTCCGGTTAAGCCGACGTCCCCAAAAACTCGTTAAAACGGACCGTTTACGGTGATATTGGACTTAAATTTAGGAGAGCATTGTATTTATACATACGATCACTGGTCTCAAATCTGTTCCATGAGAACAGTCGTTTCAGTCCCGCCCACTTCCTGCCGATCTTGTCCGGTTAAACCAATGTGCTGCTAAAAATTGTCCGGTTAAAGAGATGTCATTTCCATCGAGTGTAGTCCGGTTAAACCGATGTCCCGTTAAAAGGTGTCCGGATAAGAGGGAGTCTACTGTACTATGTATAGGGGAGGAAAGTTAAAATTCAGTTTCTTCACTTCCGATTTCTCTGTTTCCAGGATGTCACCTGTGGGAGTTCTCTTCCTGGTCTCCTCCAAGATCCTCAGCATGGAAAGCATCGGCACTGTTATCAGTCAGCTTGGACTCTACTTCTTCACCGTTCTGCTGGGTTTGTTCTGCCACGGCTTCATTGTCATTCCGCTCATTTACACCGTCGGTACTCGCAAGTCACCCTTCAAATTCATCGCCAACATGAGTCAAGCCATCGTTACCGCTTTTGGAACAGCTTCTAGGTAATTTTGTTTATAAAGTAAGCGATTAAACATCTTTGACCATGCATTTAACATTTTATTTAAATTAGTTGTAGCCAGTTTTTGGATTAAAAAGGAAAATATATTAATTGAGTCACAAAAAAAGTGCTGTTAAATTACTATTTTCTGTAGTGTGGTTAGCACTATTTTCTGTTGAATATGCCAACTTATTTACCAAGCCAATCTGAAAATAACTTATTACAAAGTATAGCAAACTTATGACAGATTTTGAAAAAACCAAATATTAAACAGGCCCTCAATTTGCACAGAGCATGTGATCTTCCATGCGTCCACAGGAAACCTTTAACCTCTTGCACCCCTGGGCTTGGGCCCATTTACTTAAGTGGCCCTGACTAAATAATGACAAACCTAGGGAGAAAATATAATTTCAGACTACACACTGTGAGTGGCTCATTCAACTTTGTTATTTTGAAATGAAAAATTGGCTACAGCAGTTCCATATAGATGTGATGTTTATTGCAGTCTCCAAAAGACAATGGTTATCTTTTCAACCACATTTATTTTCAATGTAATAAGGTATGAAAACAATGTATTAAAATTTTACAAAAACAATAAAATTAACTGATTGATTTCTTCTTCACAGTTCCGCGTCGTTGCCAGTTTCAATGGCTTGTCTAGAGGAGAAGAATCACTGTGACGAGCGAGTCTCTCGGTTTGTGATGCCTATCGGAGCAACAATCAACATGGACGGAACTGCGTTGTATGAAGCTGTCGCTGCTCTGTTCATCGCCCAAGTACGCAACGTAGAGTACGGCTTCGGCAACATAGTCGCTGTCAGGTACGTGTTTTGGATATTATACAGTTTCGCTAATCCAGTAAACCTTAGACCACAACACAATCAATTTTACATTTTGTTGACTTTAAATATTTAAGGACAAAAATACAGTTCAATTTTTTCATGAAGTAACATTATGGTCCACCTTTGTACGATTTGACTATCCATCTCAACATTTTCTTTTTATACAATCAAATGAGAATTTTTTTCAGAAAGCACAAAAGGCCCTTATCATATTTTACTCTTGAGTACTTAACTTCAGTACGGCTAAAGACATTTCACACGTATACAGTATTCATTCTGGTTATTTGTGAGCATGGGCCCCAAAATCTTCTATCGAGGGTGCCCACAAGAAATCTTCTCAGGGGGGGGGGCATTTAAAGAATCTTGTTCTAGAAGTCAGGAAAAGGACACTTCCTCCTTTTCTCTTACTTTATTATGTGTATTATATTACAAAATTTAGTTATTATTATTACATGTATCAATCATTGCTCCCTGCAAATGCATATGTTTCTCATCCCTCCACAGTTTATCTGATTCTCTTTTCCTCTTTCTCCACCATCTCACCTCTCTCCTCCGGATCTATCCACCTCCTTCTATGGTCTTACTCTTGCTTTCTTTCCCATTATCACCATCCACTCCATTTCTCTAGGAATGTTCTCTTCCCACCTCCTTCTGTTCTTCCAACACCAACATTCTAGTCTTGCTTTTCCAACACTCCCAGGATTGTTTGAAGTTGTCTTCAAACAATCCTAAAGTTATCATATATTGTGTTAAACTATCTAATCACTGTTTCATCCCTTTTAGTGGGATTTCCATGTACACATTCAAATTACAGTAGTCAATCAAATGCCGTGTAGCTGAGCAACACTATATGAACTTTTTTCAACCTTTGTTATTGTTTGAAACGCAATGCCCCACCCACTATGTATGTATGTTGTTTGTTGCAGCATCACAGCGACGATGGCCAGTATCGGGGCAGCAGGTATCCCCCAGGCGGGGCTGGTTACCATGGTGATGGTCCTGGACACTGTGGGGCTCCCCGCAGAAGACGTCACTCTCATCATAGCTGTCGACTGGCTGCTGTAAGTATACTGTTGTGTGTGTTTGTTAGTCATAGTGCTCGAACTTGTCTTGGTTTTTAGGTGTATTTATGTTTAAGTATTCAAGTACTGTTGATAATTCATTAGGTATATAAAGCATGGTAATAGTAAGGCTTTAAGGATTAGTGTGAACAATAAAAGCAGTTGTGCAGGCAGTATTGGGTGTGTCCCAGCTCCCAGCCCCCCAAGACCAGGAACGCAAAGCCCCAAGTCATAATGCCCCTTTCTTCAAGCCCCCACTAAATAATCCACCTGCTTTTTCCCTTACCAAAACTTAAATTAAAACAATTCACTAAAGTAAAGAAAAGAAGAGCCAGCTATTTAAAAAATGGAACATTTGTTTACCAATAACAAAATTATGAGGACAATGAAATAGTCACGATATTATGGTAATTTTGAAAAAATGAAATCACGATGCTCAATAAAGAGAATATGGGTGGTTCTATTCTAAAGTTGGATTTTTTGTTCTCTCTGAGACTGTGGGCTTCTATCTGCCCACATCATAATGTCGTCATGACAATAATCCGTGATTGTGGCCTCACCGAGATCATTTCCCGCTAACACGGTGTTAACTTCTCCTGCAATAGCAGCAAAATTGAGAGCATCCATGGATGTATAATAACTAATAGAGTTATTATACATCGATGAGAGCATCTCGCACTCCCACAACCAAGAAGTCGTCATCATCACCTCCTGTGATCGTGGCAACATCTTAACAATCCTCCGCAATCTCAAAGACAACATGATATCCCGCTACTAGTGAAATTAAGAGCATCTTTCACAGTCGCGAAGACCTGTTGTTGTGATAAACAAATGTTAACTATGAATGATCATATTTAATTGTGTTGCAAGTGTGTTGAAATTTGAAATACACTTTTTAGGGATACTTAACTTTATAAATCATCAATGGCCCCCAAAATCCAAGTGGCGCGAGTGGGCTTCTTGGCACCCTTGGTTGGGATCCAGTTGGTGACACCTCTTGCATTAATAGTGAAAACAATCTCCCCATCTATTGAGTTAATTTCAGCATCTGGCCTGACAAAAATACTGTCTTATCTCTTCATTTGTACATAAATTATTTAAAAAATTTTCACCCTGAAGATTGTGAGCAGCCTCAAAATTTTGAGGACTAGTGGTGGAAACCAGGTGTGTCTTCATTATAGTTTTGTTCATGTATTGCTAAGTGTATAGTCAATTGTATTACAAAATGCATTTAGAAAGTTACTTTAGCACAAGAAGCAATTCATTGTATGGTAAGTATGGCAGGAAAATAGAAAATAAAGTAAAACGCATGCTTGGTTTATGTTTTTGAATGTCTAGTTACGTATATATCACAGGTGTATTGATAGGGATTCAAACATTAATTTAGATATTTGAGGGAATCCTGAACAAGGGTGTTTCCAGCACACATAGATTGGATTCAATAATTTAGGTGTATATAGGTATTAGCGGTAGCAGCAAAATCAACAGAAAAACATTAACAACAAATTAAAGGAAATGCACATAAAACATGATTGGTTTTAAATTTCATCGTGATTTTACTCATCCATGCAAAACGTCTAGAGCTAGAGCAATGGATATGGTTTGTAGTACAAACAGCTTGACTGGAGTGACAGTCAATGAATTGATAGGTTAATGGTACCGTACCTAAAGGCCTTCAATTAGCTCAGCTGTTTTTAACTCCACTCCAAGGTAGGTCATCGCTCAAGATATTTTCTGGGATGAATTGCTGGAGTGTTACATGAAACCAACCCTCTGATTTGGGGTCGCACATTTTAAATCGAGAAGCATCAAGAAATATTGCATCAATTTACCTTATTTTCCCATACTTTTTATACCCAAAAAAATTATTAGTTGCTACTTGTATTTATAAGATTTTCAGCTTCAACCCCAAAATATTATTGGGAAGGGTGGATAGTGTATTTCTTCCGATCTTGACATCCTGTAATAGTTTTATATGGTTTGGTGGGTCATTCTTATTCTCCTCTGCTATTAGGGCTGCTTGTTTGTGTTGGACTTACACTCTAATAGTTTCTTATGTAGCATTATTGCTTGGGTATACCGTAGCTAGGCTTCAAATTGCTTGGTTAAAGATTAGTTTCTGCATCTAGCAATGGGAAGTGTTTCACTGTTCAATGTTAAAACAACAGGAAAAGTTTTCCTCAAATGATTGAGATAGTTTTTCACTCTTTACACCTTTGGCTAAAAAAACAGAACCTTGTTTACACCTTTCCTGACACTGTTCTAAATGTGTGAATTGTATTCTTTTGAATTCTTTCTTTTATGTTTATTTTTAATACTTCAATAACAAATAAAGCACAAACAAATTCAGCTTGAATCAGATATTGAAAATTGCAGGGTTAAAGATACATTTTGCTGAAGTAATGAAGAGTATAACCTTAACAAACTGTCTTTCATAGAACTAACTAAATGTACAAAAACTACCAATAGTACCTGCAGGGCGGAAGCCAAGAAGGCTTTGACAACCGCCCCTGTTTCTGGCCCGTTAAGCTTCTGTTATAGAACTTGTTTGAATTAACACAAAATTTTGTATTCAGTAGTGATCTGTATATATATTGCAGAAAACTGTGAAAAACAATGTATAAGCTATTTAAGTGTACAGCCTAAACTCATCCTTTACACCCATGTCCTTCTCTTCATAATAACTCAGAAAATGATTAAAATTAGATAATCATACAGTACAACTCTGGCACAAGTGCAACCAGTTAAAACAGGTAAGGTAAGTTATTTTTAGTGTCTTTTTTAAGTGATGTAAGGATTGAAAGACAAAACTGAGTTTGCTTTACAAGTGCTAAAAGTGAATTTTAAAAAGCTAAGTCTCCAAATTTGAATGTGTGTGCTGTAAAACGCACCAGAACGATAGGTTTTGAAGCAGTGTTTAAGGTGGCGATAGACTTTACCTACATTTGTTTTGCAAAAAATGTTTTTGTTGGTGATCAGGTTTAACTGACCTAAGTAAAGGTTTAATTCAAATGTGGCCCAGACATTTCGCTTTTTGTCAAGATATTCATGATGCTGATAAACTAACTAATAAATAAAGGATTATTTTTAGATTTTTCACAGTTAATTTTGGTGTCATCTTATATATTTATTGTGATATTGATATTAAAAAACAACTACCGGTATTAGTATTAATATAGTCATAGATAAAACATACTCCCTTAGTAGATTTCTCATCCTTATGGAACAGCTGAAGACAATTTTATTGTTAGTTCTGTACGGTTTATGTAGAGGTCGTGTTTTGTTTACAATTTGTTTCCCGTTATTACAGCCATTTAAAACCTCGTTTAACCAAATAATACGATCTAATCATAAACAATAACTTGGTCCCCTAGTTATATAACCAAACAGTAAAGCACAAATCAAGAAATTAACCCTAAAATAATAGAAACAAAATTTTGTCGACACTAGCGCCCAGTACATGAACTAGACATGAAAAACGAGCTTCAAAATTTACAATGGGATGAGAAGTCTACTTATGTTGGTTAGTCTATGATATAGTGTAAATCATTATGCTTTTTTTGTTTTTAATGTTATTTATAATGTTTTAAGATTATTTCAAAGCACAAAAATTAATGTAAATTTTTTATTAATAATATAAATACATTTTATAAGTAACCCACATACTTAAGCATTTTTTGTTTTGTATGGCATATTGATAGGTTTATCACTTGCTAAATGTTTAAATGTTTAAGGTGTAAGATATTTAAAATTTGTATTTAATTACTAAATTTGTAAGATGTCAAACACTATCCAATTTCAAACAAATACAATTTTACCTACACTTTGTGTCATCATCTTAAGATGTTTTCTTATTTGAATTGTATAAGGTTTGTTTATAGTGTAAAAGATTTCATGTCATAAAATAGTTATAGAAATAGTTTGTAGGAATAGAAATGGTTTGTAACTTGATTGGTACCGGCACCAAAAAGATTTGCACCTGGATAAGTATAAGGCAGAGATTATCAAAGCATTGTTTGAGATATTAATGTCAGCAATCACAAAAGTCAAATCTTGGTAAAATCTAAATTAAAAAGACAGTATTGCCTTTATTCAACATCCTCAAGAATACATTATTAAAATCTACTAGTGTTAAAAACAGCTTATAATTATTTTCTCGCTAACCCGTGAACTCCGTACATAATATTTTGAGTAAAGTACAGTACACTTAATTTTTTGTAATTCGTGTGTTGAACTTAGAATGCACTCTAAACACAGTGCTATTCATTGTTTTATGAGAGTTTTATAGGTAGATAAACGGTATTTTGACTTTAAATTTGTAATTTCTAATAAAATGTTAAAAAAACTCAATTTTTATCATTGATATGGGATTTTTCATTGTATAATATTTAAAGCAGATGCGGTTTATAATACAATGCCGTTTAAAACATGTTTCTATTGTGTCTAGTTCACGAGATATGAGCGATGTTCTAGAACGCGCCTCAGCGCTACTTCACCTCCTCCCACCAAGTTGTGCACCTGATGGAATAGCGACAACATCGGTTTTTGTCATCTCCAAGGTGCCCCCAACCACAATCAAAAGTCAAAATGCGTTACACTTTCGGTACATACCCAATTTTTACAAGTCTGTACTACACGTTGATTTCTGCCGCGCAGCGGCGTCACCCGCGTCACCGTGCCGCTTCATTGGAAACCTCGCATAGCCTTGTAATATTTCGATATAATAAAAGTCACTTTAGCGTGTAAAACATATTATGCACAATGAAAAACTGTACTTTTTGTTGTTTTAAAGGAGTTTCAATGGATAATTTAACGTTTTTTAGGGGTTTTTTATTCAAAACTTTAAATAAGTTGTTAAATAACTCAACTAATATCATTAATACTGGACTTTTCCTGGACACTTTTTTAAAGCAGATGAAGTTGGTAATACAATGCCGTTTAGAGCTTGTTTCTATCGTGTCTAGTTCACGAGATATAAGCGGTTTTCTAGAACGCGTCTC